AAAAATTCCAAAGAATAAAATTAAATGGTTAGATTTATTAACTTGTTTCAAAAAGAAGATGTAAATCTAATTTCATATTATTCATAGTCTCCTCTTCAAAATTTTCTAGTTCTCTGCATTAAAAATAAAAGGTTTAGTTTTCAATATTTTTAATAATTAGATTTTAGCTAATTGTTTATCACTTTCAAAGCATATAGTCGTTATTGTATTTAACTTTATCAAATCTTCAACCCTTATTAATATAATTTAATTAAAAAAATAGGTAATTTTTGGATTATATGTTCAAAACATCTTCTATTTTATTCATATGATTCATTCTTCTTCTTGGATCTATGTGTTTTTATTGAGATTCAAGACCCAAAAAAAAAATTTGTCTATTTAGTGCTTCAAAAAATCTCTCTTGGTGCCATTTTCAATATGTTTTTCAATTTTCACTATCATTTTCATATAAAATCTTGGAAGACTAAACCTTTTACTACTTTTGATACAAAATTTATTGATTCATCATAAACTTATATAGATATTTCACACTTTATGGTAAAAGAACAAGTCTTTTTGATTTTGTTTTGAAAATCATAGATTTTTAAAATTCAATCATTATTAAGTGCTACAAACCTATGCTTTTTTACAAAATATCTACAAATTATAGCTACCAACTAATTATACTTATTCATAATAGCTTTCAAAGAAATTTTATCAAAAAATGGTATTTCAATTACATAAGTATCTTCAATTCATTAAATCTAGAGAAATTTTTAATTAATATAAATATAGAATTGATTTATAAAAAAGCTATACATAATAGCTATATTTTGTGTGCTTGTTAAGCAAAAATTGAAGTTAAGTCAACCATCCATGTTTTGAATCTTAAATCCTATATTTGTCATGTCATTGATACATTTAAGTAAAAATGATTGGTGAAAATGAACTTTCATATCCTTGTACAAAAGAGAAAAAAACTCATTTTAAGGTTTTTTTTTAAGTTTTGTTTATCATTGTTTGACAAATTTTTTTCCTTATATTATATTTTAACAAAATATCTATAGAAAAAAAACTAAAATCATAATCAATTGCAAAAAAAACCTCTTTTCACCCTCTATTTTTTCTAAATCCGATTATTTATACACAAAAAAGTACAATTTCAAATTCAATTTTCAAGATGAAGTAAAGGCATTTTCAAATAGATGCTATGCATTAAATCACATTCTAATACATAAATATGAAAATGTTTAGATCAAAAAAATCCAATGCTTCTTGATAAAATGGTTTTGCTTGCACAAAAATCAAATATGTTCAACATATAATACTTTATACAAATCGTATAAAATGAATTTAATAAAATCTCACAAAAATCAATTTCTAGTTTCAAAGAATTTGTAAAAAAAATTATTGTTGTTTTACTATTACATTATCTCCTGGTTTATTGAGATGGCATAACTTAGATTACATCAAATCTTCATCACTGCATTCAATTGATTCAACTTGAACAAGATGTGGATAATGTTTGAGAAATCAAGATAATGACAAAGTTCAAAGAAATCAATTTTTTTGATACATAAAATGTGATTCAAAGCTAATAGATTATTGGATCAAATTGTAAATTATGTGAAATGAACTACAGAATATAAAACAAAATACTATAACAATTGCTGCATAATTTTTTTATGATTAGCATTTTGTGCTTCCATTGTATCCATTTTTGGATTTGTTTAGTAATCATTTGGAAGATAATTTTATGTGGCGAGTGATGACTTCTTTGAATTCATGATTCATTAAAAATTTTTTAATGCACTTTGAGACTTGATAGCATACATATTGTTTCAATATTGATGACTAGAATTTAAAATTGCTTATAGTCCATTTTCAAAAAAATTATGCTAGTAAATGACATCACTTAGAAATTTTTACAAAGAATTTTTACAAAGCAATAATTTTGTTTATATTTCAATTTTTAAGATTGAAATTTTCATTTTTTATCATATTTTAACTCAAAAAATCTATATTAAAAGTAAGTGATGTGTTCTCATATGATAAAAGTTGTATTGGTTTTATTGAAATTTCAAAGTCATTCTTAATACTCTTTAGTGGAGGTGTTTGAATCAATACAAGTTTTTTGAAAAGTTTTCTAAAGATTTTGTGTAATTTTGGCAACAACTTTTAAGCTTAAGAAGTAACAATGAAATAATTGAAAATTTGACGTCAAAGTATTTGCTTTGTATTGTAAGATATCAAATTTGGAAAGTGAAATTTGAATCTAGGTGCATTCTTGGAATGATTAAGAAGATGCTGTGAGCTTTTTTAAGGATCAAATCAGGCTAAACTGGAATTGTTTTGAATGTGTTATGACATCCGAGATTTGATCTTCATACTCAGATTTGCCAGATTGCATTAATCGTGATACAACTGATTTGACAGTTATTAGAAAAAATTAATTTTTAAAAATAAAATATTAGATATTAATCTAAAATAAAATTTGATATTATTATAAATTTTATCTTGATTACACTGCCTATTTCTAAACCAAAACAAGATTGATAGTCGGAGTTTTACATAAGATCATGTGATACAATTGATGGTTGAAAAAACAAGTTGAACTTTCTGGGATTTTTTTAGAGTAGAAAAACTGCAATTTTTAATTATCAATTAAATTTGGAGGTACAAAAATACACTCAAAAAATCTTAAAAATTTATCTAGAACCAAAATTATGAACGTTTGCAGAAATAACCAATATCAACACAACAATAATGTTATGAATGATTCCAAACAAAAGTGCATCTTGATTTAATTTTCAAAGCAAAAGACTGAGCAAAATCCTAAAAAGTTTGCCTTTAACGAGACAACACTGCAAATTAGCATCTGTTGCAGGGCGTGCAAACTATATTAAGTTTGCGCGCCGTGCAACAGATTCTACACATTGTTAGCAACATCATTAGAATTTATTTAAAGCTAAGCCAAAAAATTTGTAACATTCATTGTTTTGTCAATTTAATGACTAATTGAGACTTTGAGGAGATCAATGATTTCTGATCAATATATCACTTAACTGTGATGGAAAAACCTGCACTACAAGTTGCTTGTTTGTTGAACATTGTTTGTTAAACATTTTTCAAGGTTTTATTGTTTGAGAACTTGTTTGTTAGTTGTTAAATGGTTAAACTCCTTGCATCGAGGAGTTGTATTCGTTATCCAGGTTTGAAGCTTAGAGTATGATACTAAATAACGATTTTTGTTGACCACGACAGGCGTTTAACCAGATAGATTTTAGTCCTTCATAAACATTTTCATCGTATGGTGTTCTTCATACAATTTGCTTCACTCAACTTCATCTTTCTCCAAAAGTAGTACTTATATATCACCGCCTCAGATTTTCCTTCAACGCAATTGTGAGTAACTCGTATAGGTGAAGTGTCTAGTGTTTAGTTTCGTGACTACCACTATGAAGATTGCGACTCGTTAGAGTACAACAGCGATTGATACTTATAATTACGACAAAGCGCGCATGTATTGTTGCAAATTCCAAATTAAACCTTGTGAAGTCTTAAATCGGAACGACACATTCCAATGTGATTCGAGTTTGTTCGCGTTCTCGTTCCATTGGACAAGAGGAAAAACATTTCGAGTCTCATGTCCATATCCTTCCGAACTTGTAGATTGAGTCTTGCACCTTGCACCTTGTACACTGCTGTCCTTTCATTTCCAACATCTAAGAGAATTTCAACAAATTTCAATGTGACCGCATACCATGTTAAATCTCAGTACAACGAACCAGCAAAGAAGCCAAGATGGCCGTTGGGTAACATCTCACGGTCGTGAAAAAGGATTTCAACCTCGTGATTAAGGGAAAGTCCAATGTCAAAACTCGACTTCCCTCCCATCTTGCTCACCAACTGTCTCATGCCAGGCATACAATCAATCCTTTCAGTTGGTTTGAGAACTCCACAACTTCCTATAACTGCATGATCGATCATTGACATGATGGATAACATATATGAACGACAATAAACTGCTGTTTCCTTACCTTTAAAGTACCTATCGTTGTCATTCTGCACTCGCCACTTAACTAGCGAGGTCCGAGGACATTTAAGCTTCTGTAATTAAATTGTCAGGTGTTTGGAATATCAAGTCAGATGAATCACGGAAACCACGTACTTCTGATAAAGAATCCTCTACCGTGACTACGTAGTAAGGAAGAGCCTTCTGACTTGCATATAAGTCCACATCCCGCATCCAAGAATTTACTGATATTTTGGGAAACTCAAAGCTGAATCTGTCGTGCTAGATGTTTGTTTCAGACTTCCGAGCCTAAACGCTAAGACTCTATGCCCAATGAATTTTCCTTGTCTAAATTCCTGGAGATCTTACATGGGGGGCGAATAGTTATCTTCACTTAGGCCTCATTAGCCCTCACTATAGCATAAGCTCCTGTCTGATTGGTCGATGCAGGACTATGGGGTGAATAGCAACTACTTCTAAAATAGGAGTTGTAACAAAAAGAATAGAAGGTACAGTAGGGTGAGGGCTAATTAGCCCTAACTGATGAATAACTAGCCCATCCCTTTTACAATAGCAAATAATACCGATACATGAACCTTGACTGCTGTACTCCAACAACTGCTATATCTTTGACAAACTTAGTCTAGGCTGTTGAAGCGTAATGTTCCATGTTGCAAACTGCAAGGAGTCGGTTGTACGTCTCTGATTTCATCACGAGTGGACAGTGTTGGAGATAATTGAGAAACATATGTAAATTACAAATGATAAGACAAATATCCAACTTCTCTACATTGCAGCATTGTGATATATTTTTTTTGATGTGGAGGTAAAAATATTAGTTTCCATGCTACTTATGTTTCCATGACCAAAATATTATGCCGTGGAAGACTTTATTCCTCCCAACTCTGATAGTGGAGGCGAAGAAATAACAAGGGCAGCAGTAGATATAGCAATATCGACTAGAATTTTCACAGAAGGAAAAAACAACAACCTTACAACCTTTATCCAGATGATCACAAAGTGTATAAGAAATTCGTAAGCCGTTCGCATTAGAGTCGCACAAAACTGCGCAGAAGCCCGTAACGACCAGAGAGCCATGTCTTTCCAATCCCTATAATATCTCCGTTTGCGCTCTCCAATCTCTACAATTGTCTTCTTCTAGCTGATTGGTCATCTTAAATCCACCTTGCGGACTTGCTTTTTCAAGGTTTTTAAAGATGACGCTAGAGCACACAAGAAAAGTAATACGACACATTTTGAAATTTGGTTTTCTCCGACTGACCAAGCCAGGCATTATACATGTCACGTCCAACTGTATTCACACAAAGTCCCCCTTCGCCTGTATCTAACCTTACAATCTTCCAGTGGACGAGAATTATAAATTACAAAACTACTAAGCACCGAAATGAGTCTCGCACCTCACTCATAGACCCTGATCCAGGTCAACTTATACACTAACTACAAGAGACAAGACTACATAATTCCATCATTACACCACTGGTACCAGAAAAACGGTCGCCGTTAGCATGGGTGCAGTCTAAAAACATTAGAGTCAGCTACCGGCACGAAAGCATACGCATACCGGCATACTATCAACACATCATGAGTTAGCATCAGCTTAGCATGGTTTGGTGAGGGTACACAAGGTTCACATTTGCATCCACATACAGCACACAAGAACCCGTACATGCACGTCACCCTCCTCTGTCCTGACATCTTTTGACAGAGATGAAGATTAACCCCTGGAGGAAGTTGCTCTCATTTGAGTGTTAGACCGGAGGTGGGTAGTTCTTGGCCTGCTGCTTTACTCTCCGTTTGTACTCCTCGGGGTCCTGAATATACAAGAGCAACAATTGAGAGGTGAGGATATGGATAATTGCAATTTAATAGCACTAAAAATAGAGCTATACTTCCACACTAAGTTCGGCTCATGTTCTCTTGAAGAGAAGAAAAGATACAAACATACCTGGATGAATAGTTGGTAAGCTTCGGTTTGAGCCGGATCAGCAGGATTTGGTGCATCCAGTAACTCTTGAATCCCAACCAAAATTTGTTTTACAGTAATTGCTGGTCTCCAACCCTGTATAATAGGTCAGATCAGTAGCCCAAAGTTAAAACGAATTACAGACAAATCTCTTTTCGAAATTTGACCTATAAATATATCATAATATGATTTGATGGTACAAGCTTGGCTGAAACTTGGATAATATACAAGAATATTCCGCAACACAGCACTTACGGAGTCTTCGTTGAGTATTGACAGGCACACTGTGCCCGAGGGATAGACATTGGGGTGGAAAAATGAAGCAGGAAACTTGCACTTCGGTGGCTTACTCGGGTAATCTTCGCTGAAATGGATTGCGAGTGGGAAAAAGCCACCCTCCCAATCAGTCTGGACATGACAAAAAATTGATGCAAAAGGTCACTTTATTTGAGCCATAATGAGTTTGAACAAAAATGTATGTACACAAAATATCAGCTGCCATCTTTTTAAAAGATAATTTTTCTAATTCCGTAATGACCTGTTCATCTTGGAGCTTCCTACATTGAAGTCATGCCTACATATGTTGCATACTTTAAAACATACTCGCTTGTTGAGGAATGTGTAAGAAGCAAAGACTGGAGGTCGTTATGGAAGTGTAATTCATCATATCATGGTATTTCACCACCTAGAAATGATGAACTATCCTAATTTATTGATGACATACTTACCCCGACTTTGCCTGGTAAAATACACTGCCAAATCATCAAATTCATTGATCCATCTGCACCGGAATCTGGTCTTGCCACAAATCCCTAAAACAAGCCAAGAGATCTCGCTTGTTAACATGAAGTAAAAGTTTATCATCATTCTTACTGGTTGTGACCTGACATATAACAAACAAAAGAAATATATACTTCACTCAAACTAAGGTAGCTCAAATGAGCCTGTGTCCCCACAAGAGAACTGTAGTGGTAAAGCTGATATACACTGGATGACCGGTAAGCTGGAAAACTTCGAAAGCAAGAACCTCAGGAACAAAATTTCAAGAATGCAAGAACCTACATCCAGCAGAATTACGTAAGAGAACTTCAGGAAATGAACTGCAAGCAAACGAAAACTAAGAACTAAAACCAAGCAATAATAATTACATGAGGATGATTTTTGCGCCAAGCCTTGCGCTCCTCGGCCAATCGACCCCTCGCAATGCCCCCCGACATGCTGCAACCACGAAAGCAAAGGCAGGCGCGTTCACAGCAATCAAAAAGCCTAGCGTAAATTGACGACCGCGACTACTCTGTCGCTTCCACGTCAAAGCCCCCACCACCTTCTTCCTCTGTAATGAGCACAGGACCGCACCAACAAACGGTCCAATTCAGCTTTGAGTGAGAAACGCAGGTACGAGTGTAGTCCACGGGGAGTGTAGTCCACGGGGAGGCTGGGTTACGAGCCGAATAGTGAGACCAGCACCGCACGAGTCTCAATTCGCCACAAAGTTTCCTGAAGCTTCCGTCCCACCTCTACTCACCTTGTTCCACAACTACATACACCTATAGTGTGCTCGCTCGCTCAATTACTCGTTCAAGCGCCAACGACCGAGTAAAGCAAGGCTGCAAGCGCGTGGTCTCATTGATCTGTCACTTTCCGTCCCAGTCCCTCTTCATTGTGCGTTCTCGCAACCTCCTGTCCCTCCTCGCGACCGGCTTACGATGGTGGTGAGTGACTCTCTTGGGGGCTGATGTCACACTCGGTGTCTCACTCCGTGCTCTTCTATCGTACGGGACAGTAGACTAGTGCCAACGCGGTGAATTGGAAAAAAGCAACTCCTTTGGCGTTTCATGCCTAGAAGTGCTGACAGGACTTTGAAGAGCAGATTAAAGGAACCCTAAGAAAGAGAATGGAATATAAACCTTGATATCTAAGCACAAAGAAAAAGGAAATACTACTCAAACTAGGTATTGAGTGACTTTTATATTATCCTTTCATTTGCTGGTTTTATACATGTATTATACTCTCTCGACAGTGATTTCTTTGAAGATATCTTTTATTTATTGGTATATATTAGTAGTTTAAATTTTTAGATATCCCTCTTATAATTTACAAGCGAAAGGCCTATGAAACAATACCAGCAGAAAACACTATATCTACATATATTGGTTTTATTTCAAATGAAGAAGCTTGTCTGATTAGATGTATAACTGGCTTCATAGGTTATATTTTACAAAAGTATTTTGGAAATTCAATTCCGGTCTATCTTGCTGTATGTAGTTTTCATAGTTTCAATCATGCATTATTTTTTAATGCATCAAACTTCAAAAAACTATATGTTAAATTTTCAGTTCAGTATTTGTTCTAAAGTTTATCAACCCCTTCATCATGCAAAAGAAATTAAATTTGTTTCACTCAAACATGGAAACTGCTGTGTACTGATCTATTACCTTAAATGATATAATGCATCACTTTCAGATACATATTCATTAAATATTTAATGGTTATAAATGTGTATATATATATATATATATATATCCATTATGATAACAAGTTTTTAAGGTTTTAATCGAGATATGTGATTTCATGAACAACAAAGTAGTCAGCATATCGTTCTCACAAACATTGCAACAATGTTTGAGCCATAATTGGTTTGATAAATTGACGCCGGGTAACCAACTTAGAAAAGCGTTGCACAAGCTACCTTCTTTCAGTTCTCTGCATAGTGCATATTTCGTTTGTTTGTAAACAAATATATTGGTTTGTGTCACACCATGGTAGAAAGGTTGCAAAGATTACCCATAGAGCTCCTTTGCATAGTCCGAGATAACCGAATACTTAGGCGGAATAGTAGTATCCTCCAACACCGAAAGGTTTGGAAATCTCATGCAAAGTCTCCGATGTCAAACAAATAATACTCTGACCTCCCATGAAAGACTTAATGATCAAAGCCTTGGAACTTGGATACGCGAGAAAAATCGCGAAGGGCTTAGCTAGAGCACCGAAACTTGTCATCCTGACAATCCGCGTTAGGCCTTGACCGGTGGAAATGCATGAAAGCCTTTTGATCTGTCTAGACTTTAAACACACTAAATGAAAGCCTTTGTACATTTGTGAGACGCCGAATGTTCTTACCATTAACTCATGTTTATTACCAAGTCCTCCTTGTCCATGCTTCCTCTAGTCATCAGTTTTTGTTTTGCTTATAGTTGATTTTGCTACCCAAAGTGAGATTGTGCAGTTACTTCTGAACACGACTACAGAACTTTCCTTGATTGCTCCATCCACATAATATCTACAATAGCGACCCCTTATGTTGCACGGGTGGTAACAGAAAGTGTCCTAGTGGACACACAAACAATCAACCTTGTCCGCTGGCGCACATTCATTGTGTTACAGTACTACCCACATCCACAGTTGCTCTTCAATCGGAGATACATTTAGTGGGTAACTGTAGGCGAATAAAAGTAAACTTGAGCCCCTCGAAAAAAAACTAAATTGTTCATAATCTCTTGCGGTATAAGTCAGTTAGGAATCATTACACGTATTTATTCATAGAAAAGTAGCTATTACGGTGTTGCTTGCCACGGTAGGAAGTCATATTCTCCTGTATACTTTTCTCCTCAATACGGGTAAAGCTTCCACCCCACAAACAAAAACAAAGATATCATAAGTTTCCGAATACTACAGATCTTTCGCAGATGGTAATTTATTAAGCTCAGAACCATTTACACCCCGACTGAATGAGCAAAGCGGCTTCCGCCTGTCAACTAATTACAACATCTATCACCGACCGACAACCAAGACTTTCTCAAATGTTATTAAATGCTAAACCGACGGCTGTTACATTCTCGAAAAATTAGCCTCCAATTGAGCTACATGTGAATATTACGTTCTACTTCAGCCACAATTTTCTGTAGCAATGACAACTGCTTTACTGAAGTGGAGTGCAAAAAGGGAATGTGAATTTGCCCTTTACCATCTACAAAACATCCCCACCACCAATTACACATCATATGCACATTGAATTTCCCATTCTAGAATATACTAGCTCCGGATGCGTTCGGAACCCTGACTGGAGATATTTGATTTGAGATATGGCAGAATACTGATGATTCGGCTGATTGAGGTCTTCTTGACTCAACTGCTGCATCTGCGAGGCACCCAAGCTCGTAATACTTCTGTGAGCACCAGTGGGAGACAGCAGATAGAAGAGGGTAGAAACTGTTGAACTAGATACATGTGTTTGACCATGAATCGCATCTAGCCCGAATTTTGAACGCTTGTCCGAGAAGTAATAACTCATGTCTTAGCCTATCCAATTAATCCTCAGCCAACCAGGATGAGCCGAATATCCAGACTCGAATGCTTTTGGTATGGCTTTTCATCTACAAGTGACGGTCTCTACCCGACATCACAATAAAATCGCAAAAATTCGAGCATGACCTCCTTAGTAAACCTCAACGTGCCACTGCTTGTTCTTCTTCAACTGAGAGAGTTTTTCCTCCCAAACAATGCCCTGCTCCTCGGCAACCCTCTTCAAGGTGTCTTGGATACCGGGCATCATGCCTCTTAAACCACAAAAGTAGATATGGGCACCCTTGTCCAGAAGGTCGAACAGCTCAGAGCTGTACTCCTCAATCTTGTCTTGTACGTACATTTTTCCACCCCTCTGATTCTTTTGCTCACGACTCAGAGCTAAATCGTACCTAAAGTTCTCAGGGTACTGCTCTTTGTAGGAGCTGAACTCATCATGATAGAGCAAGCTGTCTGTGTTGGCAACTCCAAGGAAGAGCCAAGCAAGACCTCCGAACTGGAAGTTGGGAACATCCTCCATGAACATCCTTCGGAGGTATGCTCTGTAAGGAGCAATTCCTGTTCCTGTGGCAACCATGATATGTACTGCATTTGGGTCCTCCTCTGGTAAAAGCAACACCTTTCCAGATGGCCCTAGAAAAAGTCAATGTGTAACTTGTCAAAACATATCAACTGAAATTCTAACTCTAAACTTGCTTAGGTTATCACTTAAGAACAGAAAATCAACGCAGCTGTATATTTTGATGTCCAAAGGTCTTGTCAGTTCTGGATTCAAGTTTCTCCTCTATTAACTACTGCATCCGATTTTGGTCGTGACATACACTATTCATTATATTCGCCTCGCCCGCCGGATGGATTAAAAGCATTCCAACAAAGATCGGAGGTTGGAAACAGCTTCTATTAGACAAACAAAGCTCAAGGTTTATAAAAGTTCGATCTGATACAGCTGGTAGGGCGATTATAAGTACTAACCTGTTATCTGAACCTCATCACCGGGCTTGGCATCGCAAAGAAAGTTACTGCAGACGCCCTTCTTTGCTGGATCTTCTTTCTGAGTCTCGGGGTCCCAGTACACGGCTCTCCTGACACAAAGACTCGTTGTTTTACCATCAAAGTTGTCTCCGTATCTTGTGGATGCGATAGAGTACAGGCGCACTGTATTGGGTGTTCCCGGCTTCTTGGGGTTCTCTCCCTGTTTAGATGGTGATTCCATCAGTATGCGGCGAACTAAGCACACAATCCACACTTGAATTCTTTAGTAGCAAACTGACAGAAAGAACTACTGCAATGGTGTATGGACCTGGAAAGAACTACCGCAGTACTAGAGAGGAGAGTAAACCTCAGAGGTTCCCTAATTCTGCATTAATGTGAGCTTTATTAGCGCAATTTTAAAAAGACAAGAAAATATTGCAATGCTAGAACAGACTATCTGGTCAAGTGTAGCAAATGTGGTCAAAACCGACGTGAAGCTTTGATAATTGGCTTGTAAAACAAAGACCTCGCAGAACCTCTAGTGCGCGGCTAGCAGCCGCATGGTAAATACATCTAACAACCCTGCGAAGTTTCTGATGAGATTTTACTTACGGGGGCAATAATCCCGTAGCTCTGACCCTCCCAGTATGGTACATTGCCGTCATGGTCAATAACGATGTGGCAAGTTTCGCCAGTTGCATTAGGGCCAACAATTCTCTCCACTGACTTGATTACTCCTTTGTATGGAGCCTTGTTTTTCCACAGGTTCAATGGTGGCTCCTTCGCCTCTTCTAATTCCAGCGGGACCTTCACCTTGGACACTTTTGTTGAAGCTCTAACGACGCCAGCCCTGAAACTTTTGGTTCTTTGTCTCGGCAATGGTGTCGAGAAGGGGGAGAGTGCGTCACCAGAGAAGAACGAGCGTGCCTCGGCATCGAATCGAGAGCCTGCTTTCACCTGCTTGGCCCCATGGTAGGAGATGAGCATTAAAGATTGCGTATCCAGACAATCACAAAAATAATTTACAAAAGGTATCCACAGTACAACATTTAGCTACGTTAAGAATGTTCGCGAGGAACTTCGAAGACTTGCTGGTTGCTCTCTGGCCTTTTCGTTACGTCAGGACGGTAGAGTACACCGCTGTTATGGAGTGTTCGACTTTGAGCAAAATTTAATGGTGAAAGTAGCAGCAAGCTACATACATATTGAATGGAGATATGCAGCAACTAACGAGCAACGAAGGAACTGTGGTGCTGGAGTATCATCCGGGTTGTGTCCTGCTTCCTTCCCTTCAAACAAATGTGGGAAAAATAGAATATTACCTTGCAAGAAGTTCTGCTGCAGAATTTCGTGCTGGACACTGACACAGCGGCATGGCTGGGCACGCTCAAGGCAGCCTGAATTGGTAGAGCAATGCATTTAAAAGAAACCAGCATAAGTCAGCATTGGACAATCACCCACAACACAACGTCCTAAATTCAGCAGGTACTGAATAAAAGATTTTCTCGATTCCGTCAAACTCATGCATGCATGTAGGTAGACTGCCCAAAACAACATCGCAAGCGGTAGCGCTCGCTCGACATCGTTATACGGGCAGGTCCTCTGTACTTAGTGAAACTGCGACAAACATCTGCACCCTAAACTGATTCTCCAAGACCAAATGCGTAAATCCAGAATTCATGATTCACATTCGTTACCTGGCTGGCGGCAGGGGCGAAAATCGGTAACAGCAGAACGAATGCTCAGGGAAAGATCGCAAAAATGAACGAAGAAAACATGCACATACGTAAATAAAGCAGTGAATGCAAAAACTCAAAGAAGGAACTGAACTTGACCTGCAAAGTAACTGCTTGAGCCATAGTTCCCAAATGAAGTAGAAGCAGCTCTCAGCTCAATCTGTGCACAAAGAGCAAAGGCGATCGGGCGATCGGGCGATCAGGCGATCAGGCGATCAGGACGAGTTGCACAATTGGGCTGTGTGTGAAACTACAAGCGCTCACCTCCTTTTTCTCTACTCTCAGACCTGCCTCGACTCCCACCCACTCACGTATTGGTGAGGTGGTCGATCTGGTTTTTCGGGTGTCTCTCCCGGCAGCAAAAAGTTTCTCGCGTCTGCAGTCTCACAAAATCGTCTCCGGATGGCCGACTCTCATTTCCCAGAAGGGAATCTGCCTCTCGGTCCCCAGGTACAAAAAGTACCAACAAGTTGTGCTACAGTACTTCGAGTTACTGGATTGAGTTTGGCAGTAACTATGATCGCCTTTGTGCAGACTTCATCCTTGTCGGTGCACGCTCGCTTATTTTCTGTGAGACCTATTTTTGCTCCAAACATGTTCAACTCATATTGCAAAGGCTGTTGAAAGTGACTAGAACCGAATTATATCCTACTGTACTGATTCTCATGTGTCGCTCTAAGAGGACGACAAATATTGTGTATGCTCTATAATCCACCTTACCGTACATTTGTCCTCTTCCTCTATGCTTCATTTCTGTTTTTATCAATTTTTCACCGTACTTGATGTGTGAAGTGAACCGGACAAACTTTTTCTTTCATTTATTCTTGCTGTGAAGGTCGCAGTGATTATGGTGGCGGTAGCTGGATTGCTCAATTGATCCGTGACGGTCAGTCACGGATCGTAATGAAGTTACTACTCGTAACCCTCGGATTCTAACGATTTTTAAGTATTTATTGTACAATAAGATCTTAAAACGTATGCAATATGATTCATTGCGGCTTATTTTTTCCAAAATATAGACTCATAATATCAAATGAAAAAACATCAATCAAATAATTTATTTTCAAACACAACAATCTTCAAAATTTTTGCAATTTGATAATTTATGATATTTTAAACCAAATAAATCTTTTTACTTATTTTTTGGTAAAAATTATGAGTACTTACCTGAAATGTGTACTCAATTGAAAGGTTATCGTACCAATTACGTTGGATGATCAAAATTAGAAGCATTTTTTGGGATAATTTTGATAAGGTGGATCTCGAAGCGATTGCAGTTTTGATAACATGTACATCCTTCACAATTGTATAGTACTTGATGCGCTTAGAAAAAATTTGATCTAATATGATAGAACTTTGTTCAAGACGAGCTATACTTTTAGCAATTAGCTTGAATAACTTGCAAATCTCCTTGTTAATTACAAAGTGATATACATTTGCCATCAACTTCAAGATGTGTTTGTTGATTGATGGTTTGTTGGTTAGTTTTGATTTGTCCACACAATGTAAAAAGCCTTTGAGCTACGATGCAACATCAAGATATACAATATTTGTTGAAGTTCATTTTTTTTCACAGAAACTTGACACGAATTTCCAAATGTTGTTTTTTTGACTTCATATTATGAGTTGTATCGTGCAATAGTGAGAATTTGTTAAAAAATTAATGAAAACTTATTGTTGAAATTTCTTATATTTTCATTTTCAATTTGAAATATTGCTTTCAATATCTTGAAAACTTACTTCATAATAACTAGAAGTAACACATTTGCGATCAAATTAAGTTGACGAAGACAACAACGCAAAAGTACAATGTTTGGATGTAAGTTGGCAAAATTACACCTCATTTTAACCATGATAGTTCAAATATTGTATACAAAGACAACAATTGTTATTAATGAAAGAAGATTTTTATTTTTTAATAATATCAGTTTTTGCTGCAACACATTTGCAATTAGCCAAAATGTAAAGCGCAAAAATGTCCAATATTCATTGTTTTGCATTGATGGTGACAATCAAAATGTAGATTGAGTTGTTAAAACATTTTTTCATCCATTGAATGTTAACGTCACATTGCTAGCATACTTAACTTGATCTTTAAGCTCTAACAAACACTATATATAGCTTTTGTAGTAATCGGTACAAGATCATTTTTCTTGAAATATCTATGTAACTAGGATTGAAACCATGTATGAACATCACAAGTTTCTTGTTGAAATACATATTGAATGTACTGTTGTAGATGACCAAGAAGTTTACAAATAACAAATAATGACTTTCTTCTACGTCTTCATTCATTGACAAAGTGAAAATATTTTGTTGGTAATTCCGTAACAAAAAAAAAATTGTTTCAACTTCAACTAGCTCTCATGTGATTGATAACTACATTGAATTCCGTCTTCTACAATAGACATAAACTCAACTTTATCTTTAGAATTCAAAGTACATTGATGCAAAACATTAAGTTTTAATTTGTTGGGTTTGCCATCAACCATCTTTTCGCAATATTCACATCTTGCACAATAGCAATTTTTACTACCTTCTCGGTCGATAGATAGAAACAATGTCATCTCGGATTTATCATCTCATCTGTTTTTGTCCATCAGTGTGATGTATACGTTTGATGTCTAGAGTTTGGCTATAACGATGATGATATTGTTATTGCGCTTTCATATTTCACATTGGTTACATGAAGAACAGTAATTAGCAGTACTAATGTGAAATGTTGATTTTGTCAAATGAACATACTTCAACTGCCACAATCGACAATGTAATTCCTCACTTCACAATTTTTCCACTTTTACATCTACACTAAGTCATAATGACTTGAATTGCACAAGCTTTAACACGATCTCTGACTCTGCAGTCTTCATAACTTGAAAAAAGTGCAAATTCTACAGCAATTTTATTTCTACCAACACTAATTTTAGAATGTTTTTTAAAGCTTGTTGCATAAGACACAAACCATACAAGCACTCGTTTGTAAATTATGAGATGTAAATTTTGAATAATGACTGTAAAAATGCCTTTGAGTTTGATTTGTGACTTTTTATTTCTCCTTCTTATCATGATTTTGACTACTTTGCAGCCCTTTAGGAAAATTGATTGGCTTGGTTAAGGGCTTCATTTGACTTGCTTAACCAGTTGTGTTTTGGACAAACGTAGCGGATTAGTTTAGTTACACTATCTTTTCCAATTTTGATGAGCCATTTCTTGTCCCAAAACTTAAGAGTATGGTACATATTTTATTTTCAATTTAACTTTTTCACAAGAGAAAATATTCAGATTTTGTTTAAATCTGATGTTCAAGATGTTGAAGATACAAATAAATACAAGAAAATTGTGCTCAATGATCTAAGAGTACATGTTGTTTGATAATCAATTTTGTAATATCAGATGGCATGATGTTTTCAAGCAAGTGTTGTATTTAATTTTTTTGATATGTTCAAAAATTTTGAATCATGAATTTGATTCAAATCTAGAACTTGATCTATTTTAAAATTTGATTGGGAGAGAATTTTAAGAGAAATAAATTCCTAGTGTTTTGTTTTTTTAATAATTTATATAATCAAAATTGGATTTACACAAGAAATGAGTATCACAATAATAGCATGGAGAAAGCACTAAAGATGGATCAATTATAATAGTGAAAATATTATTTGGAATATTAATCTAAGATAAATTCTCATCTAAAGATTATAATTTGTATGTGTGAAGTATCAAAAAATATATAATATTTCAGATATGAGCAAACAAAGTTGTATAGCTTTCCAAGTAATTATCACACAAATAAACTATATGGCATGTTCTGATTTTTTTACATAGATTAATTGATATTCTCATCGTTAAACAAATTTTGTTACAGATGTGAAGATGATTAGAATAAGTGCAAAGACGGCTGGAAAAATAAAGCGTTTCTACTCATGAGACGTAATTATTTTGTGACTAGAGATGATTCTATTATACTGCAAAAGAATCCATATGATTAAGGTATAATATGAAAGTCAAATGCTGCAGATCTACAATAAAAAATTTATTTAATTTTTAATTGATATGAAGATTTGCATCATGTGATTTTAAGTAAATTTTTTATACTTCCATTATACACGTACATGCCATGAAACAATTTGATAACATGACACATGAATCCATAATTCATCACTTTCTCATAAAAACACACTCAAAAATTGAGTGTTGAAGCTTTGATATGAGGTAAATTCTGATGAATTAGTTCATTCAAATCACCGACGGGGGTAAACTGAAAAGAGAATATCCAGCGAGATTTACAAACTCTCAGCAGCTAGACTGTTGCAAAGAGATGTTGGAGTCAAAGGATGTATGAGGTCAATTAGGTACGAGGCACCGCATATCGGCCCCTATGTTAGTCAAACAGTCAGGAACTCGCTCAAAGGCCAGCCGAATCCCTTCAGTCCTAGCGTTGCAAATTTTCACAATTGTCGCCGCATCACACCACTACTCTTCCGCACTCCCCCTTCTTCAAGAAATTCGCTCCTTGGCAAAGCTTTTAAGTAGGATACGCTATAGTTAATTCAAACCGTGAAGACTCCAACTTTAAAAGCAGGCAAAACAAGCAAACGTAGACTTCTCACTTCTGCTTGTGTTGCTCTACCAAGCTGTCGCTCACCGGGTTTCGTTTATTAACCATTTGAACGACGCTCAGGCGTGAAAAGTAGCACCGCATTGCCAGTTTTGTCGGAGTTTGTAGAGAGGAATAAACAGGACCGTCGACATTTAAATTGAGAGGCAAGTAAAGTGAACCCGGCTGTCCGGAAACGTCCTGAAACCCACGGGCCGAAGTGTTGGTGTGATCACGAAGAATGAGTCTTGCTGTGATGATCTTCGTCTGTGATATCGCGTTTGATGAACTGGGGATTGGTGTGGTTGAGATTGCGGGTCAAGCGAGTTGACGATAGGCATGCTGGAAGAACCCATCTGTAATCGAACATGGCCATAGCCCGCGTCTCCATGCTCTCTTTATCACAGGCGACACAGCCCGATTGTTCGTGGCGTCTCGTGGACTGTGGGCTGAATTAGTTGAGTTCGAAGAATGCTCGAGGTCGTAAGAGTTGCCTTCTCTGGAACGAGTCAAGCTGCCCACTCTCATTTCGCGATGGTGGCCATGAGCCACATCGTAAGAGGGGCCATGGTTTGCCATCGGCTGAATGCTATGCCTCAATCAGGTGTGTACGCAACTAATGCGGGCCGCATACTCGGCCTCCTTTCCACAGTCACTAAGAATTCTCAATCGAGGCCAGTTCCTTTTCAGTTTGGAAAAATTACCTGTGTAAGACAAGGTCCTGTTGAAAGATCCAAAATCTTCCGTCCAAAGTCATACGAGGACATCCAATTGCTCTGTTGCAGCAGGACTAGAGCTTTGAGCACGGGGTCTGAAGGAGCCGCACTGCGGACCAACACGTGCGTAGAAGAAAAGGAAGTTTATGATTTCAAAGACAGTAAAAATGTGATCGATGTGCTGGAAGAGAGGGGTCTGATTGATTCTATTACGGGAGATGGTATTAGGCTTCACTGCTCCAATCCTATCCAAGCTCCTGCAAAAGTATACTGCGGATTTGATCCAACTGCTGAAAGCCTCCATCTTGGAAATCTGCTTGGAATAATTGTGCTCGCCTGGTTCCAAAGATGTGGCCACATTCCCGTTGCTTTAATGGGTGGCGCCACAGCTAGAGTCGGCGACCCATCCGGAAAGTCTGTAGAGAGACCTGTCATGTCCGATGAAACCATTGAAAGGAATCTGCAGGGCATTCAAACGATTCTTGAAAATATTTTGATGGCTCGTGGAGATTCTGAAAAGAATCCAGGGGAGTCTGGTTTTCACGCTCCTGTGATAGTGAACAATTATGACTGGTGGAAAACCTTCGGTTTATTAGACTTTCTACGAGACGTAGGGAAGTATGCCAGAGTAGGAAGCATGATGGCCAAGGAAAGCGTGAAAAGGAGACTGAACTCAGAGGATGGCATGAGCTACACAGAGTTCACATATCAGCTCTTGCAGGGTTACGATTTTCTGAAGATGTTCAAAGAAGATGGAATATCAGTGCAAATTGGAGGCAGTGATCAATGGGGAAATATAACTGCAGGGACAGAGTTGATACGGAAGGTGCTCCAGCAAGATGGAGCGCATGGACTTACCTGGCCACTTCTGCTCAAGTCAGACGGGACCAAATTTGGGAAGTCAGAAGGTGGGGCAATTTGGTTAGCTGCATCTATGCTATCTCCCTACAAATTTTATCAATATCTCTTTGGCACTTCTGATGCCGACGTAATTAAGCTATTGAAAGTGCTTACTTTTCTCGACCTGGAGGAGATTCAGAGCATAGAGACAGCTATGAGGACCCCTGGGTATGTTCCCAACACAGCTCAGAGGAGATTGGCAGAGGAGGTGACTCGATTTGTACATGGGGAGCAAGCTCTTGCAGACGCCCAGAAAGCTACAGATGCCCTTGCCCCTGGAGCCAGCACTACTCTCGATGTGAAAGTCTTAGAAGCAATTGCTCAAGACGTTCCTTCGTGTTCCATTTCTCGAGCGGAGGTGGTGGGATCTTCATTAGTTGATGTTTGTGTAAAAACGGAGCTACTAGCGAGTAAGGCAGCTGCCCGGCGGCTGATAAAACAAGGTGGTTTATACTTGAACAACGAGAAAGTGACCGAGGATAGCAAAAGTTTAGAAGAAATTGACCTTGTGGATGGCAAGATGATCCTATTGTCAGCGGGAAAGAAGAACAAGTTAGTCGTTAGATTACAATGATTGACAATCAGAGACTCCAGTTGTGACCAGGTAAAAAAATCATCTGAACTGTCTTTGAGCTACGTGTTCTCTCCTTTCCACTTTTTCTTCATAATTTTTTTTCTGTGGTTTCACGCGAATCGGTGCGTTTCTTCGTTCCATGACATGGCAGCAATACTTTGAGCTGTTGCTGTTGTAGGACTTATTCAGGCAGAGACTAACCACAAAAGGCATACTCAATTGAGTATGCCTTTTGTGGTTCATATATAAGACACTGAGATACAAACCTTGATATCAGGACAACCAAGTGTAGAGAACATAACCAGGATCTGTGTATATGGTCATGACAAGTAAATAACTGTACAAAGCGTTGTCTTCCATGTAGTCTAGGTAATGAGCAGGTCTTGAACGTTATATCGAGTCAGAGTTCCACTTATCCACTTTTCTGGTATGTTCTTAATCGCTGCATGTTAGACAATCCAGCAAGAAGTGAACCCATGCAGTCAACTGATACATTCATGGATATTGTTCCGAAACGCTAGCAGGCAGGCCATATTGTTTCTTGTTGATTGCTTAACTGTCTGGGATCGAGTTGCACTCTTTCCTTGTTTGAATACCTTGGACTACAGGTATTACTTCCATCACAGTAGCTTGGTGGATTGGTTATTACCGGGTTTCCATCAGAGTTCTGTCCCTGCTGGACCCCTGCTCGAAAGATACAACATGTATTGTTTGAATCAGAATGTTTTGGTTGAAGGTGAAGATCCTATTTTTCTTCAAGGCAGTACTCCTATAACAGGGCTCTTCTTCGTTCTCAACAGTTTCCTGGTAATTGTGATGCTGTAAACATGGCCGTAGCTGCTATGATTTATAGTTTATGTCTCACATTGAGAACAGGCCTACTGTCCGAAAAGTGAAGACCAGTGTTCGGCAAGCGTTGAATAGACTAAGTTCCACGAAACATCCGGAGTGCTCACCAAACAAGGATTGTCTTTGAACTAGGAATTTGGCCGAAACTGTACGCTTTGAAAAAAATCTTTACAACTCAGCTCTTACTTCGTGTATGTGGATGAAGTTAGAGGTTTCTATGGGCTTCAGTGGCTTTCGTAGGCATTTGAACAACCTAGCTGGAATCTAGCTACCAATTCATCCTGGCAGTTTCGGTTCTGATGAACATCAGGCTGTCATTTGTAGACCTCGATGTCGCTTTATCACCAGTACGGTGATTCTGTTCACATTTGCTCTGCTCTTGTACATGTCGGTTTTCCTAGGTTTATGTACTTGCAGTAATCACACGCTAGGATGTGCAATTTCTTTGCTGTTCACACTTTCACTGTCACGCGCTGCGCCGTTATCTCACTCAATATGCCCTGCAGTTACGACTGATTTCATTAATCCCGAGGTTTTGGTAAAATGTACATCGCCGTTTCTTCGCTTTATACTTCCTGGGCGTGAAACCCCTGGAGATTACTTGGTCTGAACATTCCGTAAGAGCAATAAATCACTTCGCCAACGACGCAAGTTTGGTCTACTAGTTGTGAACTATTTAAGTGTCAGAAGTCTCGACCTCTTGTCTCACCAATGCGCGCCTGGGCTGTGGACTTCCGGCCATGACAGCTAGAAACTAACAAGTACAGTTTGAGTCTGTGCCACAGGAGAGAGGTAGTTTCAGATAGTAATCCGCTCGGGAATATAAAAGACAAAATACCTAGGGAGGCAGCAACACTCTCAGCTCCAGTTTGAAGAAGCGCAACACTCTGAGTGGAACCTGTGTCAGTCAACTCATAAAATTCTCACCTATCGGTCCTTTCAGACAAGATTGTTTCAAACTCCGAGCTATCCCTGTAGACATCGAAGGACGTCTTGACTCATTGGCTCTCAGCGCAGTCATTTGCTCTAACTCTTTTGTCTCATGGAAGCTCTGAACTTATTTATGATTCTCAGCCTGAATATCGACCGACGGGAGCAGACATCCAGTGGTCTGTGACCAAGGCAACACGCTTATATACCTCCATGAAGGGACTCAGATCTTCTCTCTCATCACAGCTTGTACAGTTTGCGGTCATGATAACCGGTTTTCCTGCACCCCTGCTTACTTCTTCAAGAACCAAACACTGTATCATCAAGCATCCGACTTCTCCGCAGAAAAGACGTAGTGAGCACGAAATCATTCCCCAGACAGAGTTAGGGCTGCGACAGTCATTACACAGCGTTAATGTGGACGATGAATGAGCATCGCATTTTCCCGTACATTCCCCATCAATCATGACTGTTAGGTTCGTGGTTTCCGTCGACCTATAGCTCTCAGGTAAGCACAGTCCTCTTTCTAAAAGGAACCAAGACATTGGGAAGGTCCTGAAGTGTACATGTTCTATTGCTAGGATCGTGCTCCTCAAGAAGTGTGACGCATGAGCGTTCTTCCCAGCATATATGCAGCGACTTCCTCGATTCGCTCAGTCACAGTTCTGGCATTCGGCTGGTATGACGGAAAGTCGACATCATAACTCACACGGAAAACCCCCATTCGAGTCCATAGTGGTCAATCTGCACTAGATCATGTTGTCTTGCAATCAATGGCGTTGAAAGTATGTTTCATTTTTATAAGCATAGTTAGCATCAACAGTGGGGCAAAGACACCACTTCAGCTATCTTAAAAATCTTGGTGTATGATACCCAATGGTCATCATGATGCAAACCGCCGGTTATCGTACAAGTATTTCTCTTGTGGTATGTTGCTTCTTGAAGGAATATCAAGAAGAAAGACGAGTTATTTAAGAGAGGGTCGAAAGCTGAGAGAGTGTATCCACTTTTCAGGTACTTAGCAATTTTAATTTAAAATCTTAATCTTTGTCACAGATGTTCTTCCAAGACTACGATCGACGTTGAGAAATAGATTTAGGGGTATTCTGAGGCCGCTAGAGAGACTATGTCAGGCGTAGGAGAGAGAGAAGTGAATCAAGAAGGTGCAACGACGGGGATGCAGGAGGGAAAAGAAAATCCCCGGCGTCATGTCCACGAGTATACATGCTACGGCATCACGAAAGCATTCAGGGCAGTGGGATGACCCAACACGACGGGTGGCGTGGACGGATTCGAAATCCCCGACAAGATCCTATTATGGAAAGGTTATAATATCCCCAATGCATAATGCAGGTTAGATGGAAAGGCGGCTGTCAGCTGGCAGGGGAAGAGTCTGTGCAGACTAGTAAGAGAAGGAGAAAAGAAATCCTAGATCTATATTGCTTGTAGTCATTGCACGTCCCACGCCGTGTGATGGGTGCTAGCACGTCCCCAAAAGTCATAAACTCTTATAAGCACCAGGCAGCCCACCTGGAGTCCACTCCCAATATGCCACGGTGGGTCCTCCTCTGTCAAGCCAGCGGGAGGTGGCTGGAAAAGTGATGACATTGGACCTCTTTATTCTTGGGCTTCAGGCAGGGAAATGTTTTGCAAAGAAAATCAAAATGGACCAAATTTTCCAAGGCATGACTTGTTTTGACCCTTGACTGGAATTCCACATCGCTGCTCTTTGGCATATTCGCCAGGCTTCTTGCGATTTAGCCACATCCATGGCGAACATCGGCATCTTGTTCTCCGAGCGTCGTTTCCGGTCTACCAATTCGCGTTTGTCATTGCAGTCGCGGGCAAGGCAAGCAGGCCTTCCCATCGGAAGGGTCAGACTCTAGTATAAGATTGAGATGATTAGTACATGTAGACTCTGTCACTCACGTTTGCTAGAGTTTCCTGGCCAATCAGTCTGTCTCGCCGCCTGATAGATAACATTTCTATCGGGGAAAGGCAGACTCAGACTTAAAGAGAAATTACAAGGTGCCAGAAGATAGCTCGTCTGCCTCGACGCAGACGTACGCATTTCACAGAGGAAGGAAGAGAGAGTGGGAGACAGAGTCACTGGCATTGGCTGCAGCAGTTCGATGGATGTTTCGTCCATGAAATCGTTGTATTCGCTAGTAGATCCAGCGATTTTCACTCGCGTCGGACGCCTTGTGAGATAATAGAGAATAGCATTCAGGAGATCCCTACTTGCTCGTAGCATTTCTTTTCAATCACGGTTCGGTCAAGTTTAAATAATTGCAGAATGGCTCCTGAAATGCCAGAAGGAAAAACCGTGGCTGTAATCATGGTCGGAGGACCCACGAAAGGTACATGTGAGCTTAGATCTGTTACTGCCACTTCAAGTGCAGGTGAAAGTGTTCAATTCTACCCGGAATGTGTAGGCCTAAGTCCGTAAGGCATGCATCTCCATAGCTTTGACAAAAAAAACTAAGTAGCTTACTTGGAAATTGGATTGCTATCACTGAGATTCGTCTGCAAACAGATCTCATTATGGAGATCAAAGCCGTTTAAGAGACTTAGTGAGCGTATAAGTTCCGTGAGTTTTTTTAAACGTCTCACAAATACTATTCAAGGTAATTGCTACGATTGGGTGCTTAAGCTGATTTTTACTAACCTAGATTTGTACCAGGCTGATCCAGTTTTTCTATGACCGCAGGTACTCGGTTCCGTCCTCTCTCTCTGAATCTAGCGAAACCATTATTCCCACTTGCGGGACAACCAATGGTTCATCATCCAATACTCTCTTGCAAGAACGTATGTTGCTACCTGATCTAGTGTCCAAGCTTCTCGCTCTAATGTGATAGGACAGCTTGTAAAACTTGTGATAGCTGGTCGCGCATTAAGTCTACCAAAATTATTCATTACCGAGCGTACAAGAGTGGACCGGCGACTGATTTTCACGACGTAATTTTCTTGAGTTGAATTGAAAATTCAGCCTCCACCGGTGATACTCACATGGCAATCCTAAAACAGACCCCAAGTTCAGCTTTTCTGATTCAAGATCCGTAAGCTCTTCTAACGTCGTATATATCTTTTGTGAATGCTTGCTGCAGATACCAAACCTGGCCCACATTTACCTGATAGGATTTTACGAAGAAAGGGAATTTTCCGTCTACTGCTCAGCAATCTCAAATGAGCTCAAAATACCAGTAAAGTATGAATCCTAGACAGTTCTACTGATCAGTTTCTTGGATGTAATGTTGTTGACTGAGGTCAATGTTTATTCCTTCGCGATAATCTCTATTAAAGTTCAATAAATAATGCTGTACCTGTTCGGGAACCAATAGTGCTGCACAGTCTATTCATTACATGCATTTTCTATCACATTTCGTAAAAAATCATCTAATAAAATCATGTTCTTTGATTTGCTTACCGCATGCACATAGCTTCTATTGTGATACGTTTTATATGTCAATAATAATTGTAACAATTGATTTATAGTCCTTCATGTTTGAAATGACAGATACCTGCGAGAAGAGAAAGCACATGGCTCGGCCGGTGGTCTTTACAATTTTAAGGACCTTCTTATGGAATTTTGCCCAGTAAGAACTGAGATCAAAACCATGAAATAGCAGAGGCCTTCTATTAGAAGTCACATTCGCGTCTTGCATCAGTACACCGTTAGGATCAAACGGAATAAAAGATTACTCCTGACGACGTAACTGAGATTGGTGATTTGAGTACATAGATATCACGATCATGTCTTTTCGTACACCCGGACGAGTTATATATCTCGATTTTCTGTTCTGCGATGTTCCCTTTTGCTCGTAGGTAATATAGCAAGGACCTGAAATCTTACTTCCTCAAAGTGGTCTTCGGTTCTTCGCTCTTAACTTGTCCTTTATGCTCATCTGTTGTTATAGCAGGGTCTTCATGCTACGACAGACAAGCACTGAGTACTTATTGTTCTGCTTCATTTGCTGGGTTTGTGATAAAGGAGATACTCACAGGTTGTTTGTTTTGACAGGAAGACATAATTGTCTTGAATTGTGATGTCTGCTGCAGTTTTCCGTTGCAAGAAATGCTCGGTAATTTAATATTCTCTCACTCTCGTGTATATATGTCGAACGCTGTATTATGTATGCATATCCGTGCTCTGTCGAGGCCCTCTGGGACGTAATTCGTTTCTGAAAAGGCGCAAAAATTGAGAACGTTAGACTTCACTGGATAAACTCGGTATGTCCAAAGCTGTTGGACTTCTCTCACAGACAAACCGGTGTCTGACGTGCAGCCGCTCATAAAGCTCACGGAGGAATGGGGACCTTGTTAGTGAAAAAGGTAAGATCACGGACATGTCTCGTATTGTCTAGAATATTTTGTGGATCTGGATATCGTGCAGTCTCCATCCTGCTTCAGCTTGTGGGGCTTATCTTTTAAATCAGTTCGAACGGATTATCTTTGACTCTTCAGGTTTCACCAGACGTTGCTAGTCAATTTGGTGAGCTTGTCGCCGATCCGAATACTGGAGAGCTTCTCCATTATGCCGAGAAGCCGGAGACGTTTGTAAGTTTCCATCTTCACTTTGTTGACCCTTTCTAAGTCGGCCTCATTAGGAATCCTAGACTTTTGGTTAGAGAGGCAATTTTGCCAATAATATTGGTTTGACTATTTTGCGATGCTCTTCACGAGATGTCTCTCTGTCCTGTCTTGATCTAACTAATCTTTTGGGCAATGATGCTTTGCAACCTCCCACCTGTACTTCACTCTTGCGCAGGCTCTGGTCAGTTCTTTCTTAATCTTTTTTTTACTCTTTTTGGTGCTCTAACATGAGTTTTTTACGCAGGTGAGTGATCACATTAATTGTGGTGTTTATATCTTCACCCCAGACATTTTCAAAGCTATTCAAGATGTTTCAACATCTCGCAGAGACAGAGGTTAGCGTCATGTTTGAGCAAAACAATATTGCACTGGATTTAGCCGCAGCTGGGGGTCAGAGAAACAAATATTAGTAAAGTTGACGTGAACTGATTTGGACACATAGATGTAACACCCATTGCCTGCAGGTCGGACAGTATATTCCTACTTTAGGGTTCAAAGCTTACATTGTTTTTGCTGTGTTCTACCAGCAGCTTTGCGACGTTTAAATAGCTTCGAAGCTCTACAGTCAGCAACAAAGTGAGTCATAGATACCCTCTGCCATTAGATTAGGAAGTGTGGTGTGCTTACAATGGTTTGGTGTGTTCTACCAGCAACTTTTCGACGTATATCTAGCTTTGAAGCTCTACAGTCAGCAACAAAGTGAGTGACAGAAGCCGTCATTTGTAGCTTTAAGTCAGCTCTTATCAGTTATGGATTGATTTCTCCACTTTCTCTGGTAATGATTCTGCCCCACATAAAGTCAAGCCGTCCTCATTTTTTGTGATGGTAAATGGTACGCTTCTGTCGGAGTACTTTACTCGGATGTCTTTACGATTTTAAAACGTGTGGATTTTGTTTTTCAGGTCCATACCAACTGACTTTGTGAGGCTCGACCAGGACATCTTAACCCCTCTTGCTGGCAAGAAGCAACTGTACACTTTTGAGACAGCAGATTTCTGGGAGCAGATCAAAACTCCTGGGTCCGTTTACTCTGTTTCATTTTTTTTTTGTCTTTCTCATTTAGCCGAGTTCTGTATTTTCCTCTCGACTTTAAAACTAACAGATCTTATAGAATTCATCCTGGCACTCGATGACTCAGCATGATATTTCTCGGCTTTTTGGGCTTCGTCTTCATGCTTCTTTCCATGTAATATATTTCGTAGGCACACTTGAGACGTACCACCTAGAGTTGAGATGCTTTGGCCACTTGCATGCTAAGCCCGTGCGGTTTATCATGTACTATGTTATGAATCAGTTGTATTATTTTACTGAAGTTGTAGGGCACTTCAAATGAAGCACTTGATGCTCTGCGTATGATGTGTCTTCCTTCTCAAGGTTTTCCTAACCAAGTCTCGTTATGTCGTGTAAGTACATCAGCATGTCCTTGCGGTGTTCTTCACTTTACCTTGAAGAGTATCGACGCACTTCTCCAGACCTACTAGCCAAGGGTGAAAACATAATTGGCGATGTCTTCATTCATCCGTCAGCGAAGATACATGCATCAGCAAAGGTACCAAGCATAGTTCTTGTGAAATTATGTCCACATAACAGTGTACGCTCACAGTCCTGACTGTAAGAAATGTGCTCGGAAGGTCCGCAGAAGAAACTTCTTAGTTATGCGTTCTTTCATATCATCTTGGTAAATAATTGGTTTATACCTGATGTGAAACCCGCAAAACACCTGAGTCCGTGAATCCGCTTGGCAGATTGGTCCCAACGTATCTATCTCTGCAAATGCTCGAATTGGTCCTGGAGTGCGTTTGATCGGCTGCATAATTCTTGATGATGTCGAGATTAAGGTAACTCAACGCTTTGAATACAAATAGGAACTTGTAAGTTTTCCATTATCAACGGCGGCCGTCGATTGTCTAGAACGTTAGTTGTTCGCACACCATTCAGCTCACATTTTTATGTATGTTTTGAAAACTTGGCAGGAAAATGCCGTGGTTATGCACTCAATTGTTGGCTGGAAATCAAGTATAGGCAGGTGGTCTAGAGTACAGGTATTTCTTCTCTTTCAATTTTACCTTCTAACAAATTGATCCCTCCTCACGGACCACCATGCCGATCTTCCGTCAGTTACTTAGTTTATACGTATGTACGTATTTGTGTCAGAGTCCTGCATTGGGCTTCAAAATTTTACCCATACCCATGAGTGAGTCAACTGTATCCACCCATTATCCACCCATTACCCACCCATGGCAACTTTTCCATACCCATTACCCACCCATTACCCATGGGTCCATACCCAACTCATACCCATGAGTCCATCACCAAAATAAAGATCATGATTATTATCGATAGACACGCTGAGTCGTAAGTTTTGTGTAGTAGTACGCAGAGTCGAGCTTCATGAAGGAAGTCATAACCGCCAAAATGTTCCTTGGGAGTGCAGCCGCAATCGCCAGGCCAGAATAAGATTTGGTGTTGGATGAGGCTAATGAGATAGCTAAGAAGCCGAGTTATTTCACTCTGCCCCAGCTTATCGGGCATAAGATGGCACAGTCACTAAGTTACCTAGTTCCAGTTTTAGCGATAGGACTTGCGGCCTGAAAATGGCCCAATGTTTGTTCGAGACGGCGCTAACAGATCGCAAATTGCGAAGCTCAGGTCTCTAACCTTCGTCAGCTCTGGTATTTGGTTACACTTAATCCGAGAGCTCTTAATTACACTTAATCCGATAGCTCAGTCTAAGTCCTACCCATCCATTACTCACCCATTCCTTGTACCCACCCATTACCCACCCATGCATCCTAGCCCATACCCATTACCCACCCATTTACCCATGCGTATGGGTGGGTATTGGGTACCCTTTGCAGGACTCTGATTTGTATGTGTGCATTACACTATCGGGTCAACAAAGGAGTTCCCATTGCATAGTTGTTTGAACAGTTGACGTTTCTATAATTCATGGAGCTTTTGTTACTCAATGAGCTCTTCAACCAGATTTTATGCAGTATAAAGTACCTACATGTCTGTCTCACCGCATTTCAAGTCTTCAGTTTATATCGTGACATTTATGTAGGTACTTCTTACATAGGTTTGTGTTCACTGAATCAGGGTGGTGGTGATTATAACGCCAAATTAGGAATCGCCATTTTGGGTACGTTCTTTGTTCTCTCCGAAACTTTCGCAGTTGAAAAGCTTGCTTGACAATCTTGAATGAAAGGATCATTCAAGATTGTCTCCAGTTTCATTAGAAGTAGAAGCCAGTCACTTTCGTTCGTCAGTATGTTCACGCATTAACAGTAAAGCACCAGACATAAATAAGAACAAGACTGTGAATGGGAGTACAACAGAGATATATGACATATGTTTCCGTGTGACCTGCTGTCGCCTGTTTCGTTACATGCATGTTTCGTTACTATTTCGTGAACATATTTCGTTACGTGCACGGGCATACGTATGCTATTCTGCAAGAATGAGCAGAAAAAAGTAAACACAAGATTAAGGAAGCATGATTAAGTGTATCATAATGGAGCTTTATGTTTGACTGATATGTTGTCAGCTGGATAAGTTGCATTCAAGTTAAGGTTAGGATGCTTATGCTTCTCTGCAGTTAAAATCACATCCGTTTTACGAGAACCCACTCTCTTTTTCTGAACGAAGTGAGTTAAAAAACGACAGGTGAAGTACTCGTCATTTTGCCACCTTCAGTGTGCTGAACTTACCATTGTAAGCTTTCTTTTTTTCAGGTGAAGATGTTTGTGTGGAGGATGAGGTGGTGGTCATCAACTGCATAGTCCTTCCTCACAAAAATCTTAATCAAAGTGTCCTCGAGGAGATTATCTTATGATTTTCTAATGAGGAGGATCGCCGCGGTAGGAACTGAATTGAATTTCTGATTGGTTCATTGACACAAATGTCTTGCACATTGGCATCTTTTGACAGACAAAAACTAGATCCTCGATATGGCTTTGTCTGTCGATCTGATTAAGTTGTAGTTTCATTCGGTTGTGAGTAGGTGGTTTTGTGAAAGTTTGGATGCTGGACGTGGGAACCGATTTTTTATATACTTACTCTTGGTACGTGTCGTCACTTGACCTAGATCTTACACCTAGATGCAGCCTTCAGAGTCAAGGCTATCCGAGTCTCTTTCCTTCAAAACTCGCCACTGTGAAGTCTACTCATTCCAGAATAACTGAAAGGTTATCTTGTCACAGCTATACATATACACGGGCGACATGGACACCATAGCAAAGAAGATCTGAAGATCATAGACAGGTTACAGTTCTTTGTAGGAGCGGAACATGCGAAGATACTGAATTCGACATGTGTACGTTCTCAACTCGTCAAACCGAACTTCAGTTCGGAAATTTAGACATACTAACAATTCCTGCTCTGATAACAAGTTTCAGAGAGTATTTGCATATGTGATGTGCACGATTAAATTCAATGCCCCAAATCAGGGCCCTTGCAATCTGCTTCGCTATATTCTGTTTGCAATTCTGACGTTTACCTGTGGCCAAACATGCATGGATGGAATCACATAATACCTTTTTGTAAGTTTTTTTTTTTTCTTGAAGAGAACGGTTTCAGACCTAGTGTGCTGAGTGAAGCACACCAGGTGAAACGTCATCATGTGTTGACGTTTGCAGTGTAGTTTTCGTGTGCCCTGACACTTCGACAGGTCAGAAGTATAGGTCGATGTGCTCACCCAACTCGTCGATTATATTTGGTGGATAGCCATGCGTTAATCTTGTTGGCCATGTTTTGACAAAAACATCGAAACTTGAACTCTACATCTTCACTAAATGCACGGAAGGTCAACTCCAAAATCTCGACTAGAGTCCTTGAGAACTTTGTAAGAAGCTTATAGCTTCCTACGAGTCACAAGCCTGAGGGGATGGAAGAGAGCATCAAATTGTACCGTGACTAAAAGGTTGTGGTGCGGCTAGGTCCGCTAGAATGGGAAGTTCATTCCTGCAGTGAAAATATGAGCATCAATTTGTTTGCAAGTTAATTTAGGGAACGGTTAACGGCAAGTTAATTTAGGCTAAAGTATCCTTCACCTGCTAAAAAGATGAGAGTCCCAAAAAAGCAACCTTCTTGCAAGCAAATAGAAGAGTTCACGCTTCTGTCTTCTCTCTCCTCCGACTCCTCCTCACCTTTCTCAGATGTCTCGAAATAAAACAACCAACTCGTTCGCACTAAGAGGCGAGACTTACAAGACATAATAGTAATTTGACTAGAAGTTTTTATTAGCGCAAAGTTTTTAATCTAAATGCAGCAAATTCTCCTTCCTTCAAATTCTAAGCCACTGCTTTTAATCCGTCTCGATTTAAACCAAAAAACAAATGTCCGCACTGCAGACCGGAACCGTATAAACCTTTGGCCAACATTTTCTGGATTTCTTTCTTTCTTTCATTTAGCACCCTCGTGGCCAATTGCTCCCGAGTCCCCTCCATACATACGGTGGGAGAAGCCTGCAATTGCAAGGGAGCCATTTTGGCATATTATGAACGCCATGTTTACAAATGCCAGCTGAACCCTCGGGGAATTATCAAACATTCTTTCTCGCCCTCATCTCTTTTTCTCACGTTGACCAATCACAGAACTCTACTCCGTATAGTATAGTAGTGTGAGTGATAATTAACTTAAACTTAGAGATAATTACCCGCTCCCTTTATTTAGCAAACTAGTAAACAACTGAGTGGAACCATACAAAGTCCAGTAAGTCATGGACAAATGTGACAAACCAAACATTCTCCAGAATAAAGCAATGGACAAATGCTGTCTACAGTATTTCACCCATTATCGCGAAGAAATGAACCCCTAATAGACTAGTACGCTATAGGATCACACAACGCGTTAAATTAATGTCCATAATCACTTAATTTCTCTTATATATGAACAAAGATATGACTCTCTTTAGTTAACATCTTACTAGATTTCTCCGTTATTCACTACCCATCTCAGAGATTCTTCCCCTTGATCTGCTTCTCATATAGCTTATAATCACAATTTGTGCAATAACAAAGTATTCTTCCAAAATCAAGTATAGTTTATCAAGGGTTACCAACTCTCAGTCCATGTGACTATTAAACACTCATGCCATGGCAAAAACATCCATAGTTTATCATGATTGGATATGGTGTGAACCACAAATGGGCAGTCGTATTGTAATATACGCCATGTTGCGTCACTTAACGTTGGACATTGAACTTGAGATTGAGTGAAAGTGCGTTTCTACAGGTAGAAAATTGAATCATGAGTACCACACTCAAAGAACTGCTTCAGTTGTTTCAATACATCTGAAACTGTACAATGTGTTCTAAAGCTTGGATGCCCGACAATGGCATGCGGAAATTATCATTTCCCTAAAAGAACCCGTTCCTTGCATTCGCCCAACATGCCGGACAGAAACGGACAAATTTATACTCACCAATCTACCGTCCTAAGATTCTAATGTGGTCCCCATATTTAAATACGATCACTAGTGCAGACCAGTGAAATTCTGGAAATCCCAATCATTTTCCATCGTAAGGTGGCCAAAACAGCTCACGGAGCACACAGTAGCCTCCACGTGAACTGCATTCGCACAAATACGCTGGGCTGGAATTGAAAATCACCTTCAATTCTTCCCAATGAAGTAAAAGAAAGTTGCTCATATCTTGAGGTTGGAACAATCACACAAAACGAATATATTATTCAATTGCTCCCATCTTTTTAATATGTCCATGCTTTAGATTTTCCCCCTGCTAGTGATAAAGATCAAACCCAGAGCAAGTCTCAGGTAACCAAAATGTGAACAAAATGTGCACTTCTCCTGATGGACTAATCAAAACGCGACTCTGAGGACCTTCATTTCAGTACAAACTTACACTCCTGGCCTTCACGATGAAATGACAGGAAGCTGTGAGTTGGGCGTTAACGAGCCAAATGGAGATATTACGAGCGGCGACTGAAAATTGGGCTCCTTTCATCAGGTGGGCATCAAAGAACACACTCGAGCAAAACAATCAACTGATATACATGAGCTGCATTGTTCCAACCCTTCATTTCCGGCTCTTACTCTTCTCTAAAAGTCGTAAGAAAATTTATTTGCAAACCGGTATTGCTGTGAGGTTAGTCGTTCTGACTACCTGACATTTAGTCTTGCGAGAAATGAGAACGGCACACGGCTTCAACGTCCCTGATGATCATAAGAAATAAAACCAAGGCAGTTTCCAGAGCAAATCATCTGCAAGCTTCACAATCACAGCTTACGTCTACAGCCTGATCTACCCTCTTGCAAGAAAATTCTGGAGCATGTGAAGATAAGCGACCTTCACTTCTTTTGTCGTGAAGAGCTCCTAACTTGATGGCAACATTGAGAACGCCCTTGACTGTCCCTGAAGGCCGCCGTACCTGGAAAGACATTGGTTCAGCTTCAACGTGGCATCTAACGTCCTTGTCAAGATCTCTGAGAGGAATGGAAACAGTACCGATCAAAGTATCGCTCGATGAATTACTGGAGTGGCCTCGGCTGTAAATTTCAACATTCAGATAACTGCCATGGTGCGCAAAGAGAGCCTCTTCACAGTCCAGCTTGAGGTGGAAGTTCCAGGTGGGATTCAGTCCTCCTTCGTTATCCACATTCGATGTAAACTTGTGATCCGTGTAAATGTAAGCCACGATGTAAGATTTCTGCTGACCTAGAGCCCTCACCTTCTTTAAGTTTGAAGCTGAGATAAGAGTAAGCTCAATAGACCTGTCTTTAGGTGACATTTTAAAATCAGAGAGCACAACACGCTGAATATCAATATAAATAAATCTTCTAGTGTCCGTAAATCAAAGGCTTCTCATTCCCATGCCCATCTACATCTGAATCGTGGTTTCAGAAGACTGTAGTCGCCGAAATTTCATCTGCTGAACCCGCCAGTCGTCTTGAGTGAGGAAATTGATTTCGTCAGAAGTATTTCGAAGTTTCTATGATTCCGCACAACAAACTTCGCCTACTTCCTCTGCTACCCTGCAATTTTCAATCCAAAACGCGATTCCAAAGACAAGGCAAACCGACATTGTCTGTCGCGGGGATGCCAGTCATCCGAGGACGAAGCGCATGGGGATTCACGATGACCTTCGCATCATCTGGCAGGAATTCCAACTCGTTGCGACTTTGTGCAGATGATAGATAAATACTAATGAGAAGTTATTCAAGAGATAAAGTCAACGCATTGGACATCAGAGTAATTCAGGAATAGCTGGAGCTACTAGTGCATGAGTGGATATGTCTAACCCAGTGTTACTCGTTTGGTTTGATTTCCATGTAATGCTTGACGGTTGTTCCGTCCTTTCAACTATTATCATGCTCTTTAGATTAGTAACATCACTAAAGTGACTAATAAAGTGAAGTAAAATAGTCGCAAATCTCTAATATGATTAGGCATCAACACTCCGAGAAGAAAGTAATATATAATTGTTTAGTTTCTCTATCGACACAAAAGGTCATAATCTTTGCATTGGAGAAATGCTTCTTGAATTTTAACATAGATAACTTGCTCTCAACTAACTCTGTGGTGGATAACCTCAAATCGACAACTAAGTCTCTCAGACAATCTCCACATGGAGCAGATCTTTGCAAATTCAAACCCAATTTTCTCAATATTTGAATCCAATTTTGTCAATGTAGGAATAATACCAACTACATTCAAGACGACAGTGGCGGATATCACGAACTTTAAACTTCAATAGTTAAAAAGTATGGAGTGGTTTACAGTTGAAATAGTTGCTAGAGTCGCTAGAGTCGCGTTCATCTCAAATTGTTACGCAATCCAAAAAATCCATCAACGATGTTAGAAATAAGGAAGTCAACTTTACGAAGGTTAGATAAACTGTTGAGCTTCAGCGTTGTAGCAAGATGCACCAATAATGAGCATTAACTTAGCGATCATCTGTTGAAAATTTATTTATTGTTGGTTAATCTTCAGACAATGATTTTGGATTCGCATCATACTCATGTGTATGGCACTTGTGATACTTCTTGTGACGACATTTAGAATTCACCATACGGTCACTCTTAACTTAGAATACACGTCAATAAAGAACTACTAGAATTTCAAAATAGTGGGCATTGATCTTGTGACAATTATCATGAGACCAGCTTGTGATACTAACATCAAGTCGTAGATGTCTTGAAACAAGTCAACTTCATCTTGCAAATAACTTTTTACTCTCGGTGTAGGTGCAAGATCATGGATACCAATGTGACATATCATGCACCATCATCAAAATTCAAATATGTCACTTGTAGCGAAATGTCCAATTGATACAGAAGACACCACACGAGAATCAACCCTTCCAGTGAACATTGTTGTAGGTGCATGATAACACCAGCAACATGATTCGTCATGTTTTGAGCTCCGCCAGACGATGCACCGATGAATTGATTACTCCAGTTAGGTAAAAGTACGTCAAATAATTTGCACAAGATTTCAAATTGTGACAAACCTGTAAGTTAAACATTATTGGCATTAAATTGGAATTGAGATACATTAAACGTTATTAGAATGAGATGCAAATTGTCGACTTGGCGTTGCCAAACAAAACAAGCGCAAATGACGATGTGTGAAGTACCCATACAAATGAAGTCAATCAGCGCAATAAAAAAAAACCCACATTATGAAAATGACGTTAGATTTGATCTGGAAAGAATCATTGCATTGGACGTGTACAAATGTAGCCATCTCAAATCATTCATAACACAAAGATTGGAGATCATTGCAACTGTTTTTGTTGTCTAAAGCGTCAATGCAGTCCGTTGAAAATTCATATCCATGCCAACGTACTTGATTGCAAGATGGTATCTCATTGAGGTGTTGATCGTCACAAAATAGTTAACCGTGTTAGAATTGAGCGTGAACACGCATCTGACATTGTCGTATGTTTGACGTTCAATATCTTCGAGATCTCATAGAAATTTCTCCGATTATCACATCAATAATGTCCTTATCAATGATATAGGTCACCTCATCTCTGTCTCGGTTGAGATGTGTCAGAGTTGTGTTCACAATCAACACCTCAAAGTCTAAGTAAATCAACTTACCTTCTTTAGGGTCTAATAGTACTTTCAACATAGTGGATGTTTGCCTAGAGATGAATGTGATAGTTCTTGGGGCAAAAAAAAACCAAACCTCTTCTTATTGATCATTTTTGAGCATTTTGCATCGACTTTGCACTTACGATCAATTGCAATATAAAATCTGCATAATATTATACATGTTAGATGTCTATTTTTAGATAGTCTAATTTACAAATGTCTACCTATAACACTAAGTGCCTCTTGTTGTGTTGTATACATCATATTGAAGGTAAGCGATTATGATAGACCTAATTGTCAAATATTGTCATGTGTGTTGAGAGATTATGGTCAAATATTTCTATACAAAGAAATATAGTGATTCAGCCTCACTAACTATTGTCTTTTGACTGCTAAAGTATATTATTCCTACAAAATGACTTTAATCTATTTTTTTTTCCAATCTTGAAGGTTGTGAAATCTACACCCCAACATTCCAGCTTGCTTTCTTATAAACTTATTGACAATTTTCCACATCTCAGAATAGATGCAATAGAATAACTCAAACAATATCTATTGTAACAACTTTACTATTTGAATACGAGAGGGGAATGAAGAATTTTAAAAGTTAAAGTGTGTAGGTTTTGCTCTTGGTTTGGTGTTTTTTTCTTTCTGATTTTAGACTGCAAATTTATTTATTTTTGCAAGAACATGAAGATCGATAACGTGAGAGTTTGAATATGAGTAATTTTAAAACACCAAGCGTTACAGGTAACCAAAATATCAAAATGCTTTATTCGTGACAAAATTTAAATTTCAACTTAAATAAGAAAAATTGCATAGGTTTCATCCCCTCGCGTGATTTGTATTTTAAAAAAAATATCAAATCAAGAAATCATTAGAGTAATCAAAGAAAATTCAAATCACATTGTAGGATGAAATATTTTAATTATTTTAATAAGAATAAAAATCAACAATATCAAATCAACATCAAAATATGATTGTGCATAGTATTCAATATTAAATTTGTTGAAATTTTCACAACATCATGAAACAAGTACGCAATATCTTTGAATTTCTTTGCAAATATTAAGTATTTTGAGTTATAGCCAGTCAAATAATTCATCTCATGATATGTACAACTTCTACAATGATTCCATATAAGTATACCAAGACCAAGAGATTTGTGATGCAAGCAAAGATCCGATAGTATAAAAATTGAAATTTTCAACAATATCACTCAATATACAATTGTATTGATTGAACAAACAATTTTAAAAAAAATTCGATGAAAATGTTAGCATCATTGCATGTGTTAAAATTACAAAAAATTGATATTGGTTTCATCTTTCTATTTTGACAAAGTAACAACAACAACTCAATTGATTGATTTTTACTCTAGAATTGAAGTTGCGATTTTAAGTTTGTTTTATTATTAATGTTGGAATTTTTATCTCTTTATGCTCTACATTAAAATGGTAGTTAAATTTTATTTGATTATCAATCTTGATAGTTTGATTCTTTATTTTGATATCAAAGATGTTTGAGCAATTCAATCATGTGAGAATAAAGATTAAACACATTGAAAAATATATTAGAATATTTTTTTATTACAAGTAATATCTTTTGATTTAGATTGTTATATTAGAAACATTATTAGTCATCTTTTTAGTGCTCCTAGCACTAAATAGGGATTGATCTTTAAGTATCTTTCTCTTGTATGTGGTTATTTGCTTGTTTTATGATTTTCATACTTTTGATACTTTGTATTCCACATGTTTGATTATCATTTATCACTAACTTGAAGTCAAAAAGATAAGATACTACAAATATCATGTAAAAATGAAGATTATATAATAATTAAATAAGTTAGTTAGACTTGGAAGTAGAAAATGAAAATTAGTTCCAGAATTTTGTACAAATACACGCATTTAGTATTATTAAAACGGAAATCAACATGATTCATTTCTTTGTAATTAGTTTTACATGATTGTTAGTCATAAACTAAGATCTTTATTAAGTTCAAGTAGTTTAATTTTAGTGAATTAGATTGATAAGACTAATTGATAAGATATCAATGAAAGCTTTTTATGAAATTTTTTTATTAAAAAAACGTGAGAGTTGTTTTGTGAATGTAGTTTTTATTGATAAATCACGTATATTCAGCATTGGTTATGCGTATGCATTCTTGTCTTTGACGGTGTGTGAATAAAAAATTATAACTGTAAAAATCTTTTGAATCAAACACAAACTAAAATGAAAAATATTTGATTCATATTTTAAATAAAAAGATGACATTGTAATAGATATAATGACTTACAAGAAATGGAGACTATTTTTATAAGATATGAATAGATATTGTAGGATGTCATTTTATGTTTAGTTAGAAAACATTCAAGGTAAATAATTTCAAATGTATAGTATTGAAATATTTTTCAAAAAAATTATCATTTTTATAGCTTTTTTCTAAAAATGTACAAATTATCAAGTCTTGAAATCAATACTAGCTCTCACATTGGAAATATTCATAAGAAAGGTTTAAGTTGGAATGACTATTATAGAAGGATTGATCCAAAAACCTCATTACTCTTATATTCTTATTTTTTATTAAAAAACTTCTACTATCAAAATCATTACAAGCTCACACATTGAAGATATTTATAAGAAAAAAAAATTGAATATTTGTGTAAAATATGCAAAATGAAACTTTAAACTGAAACAAAATTGCTTCTTTTATTGCAACAAAATAATGATGTTACAATACACAATCATCGATTTATTTTGAAAAATCACCAAATATGAGTTTATTCTAAAGATAAATTAGAAATTTAACACAAAAAAATTATGTTTAATGCTATTTTAGTCATTATGAATAATTATTGTTCAAAAAAATCAAACTGATCAATCTACAAATATCAATTTATAAGAAAATGAACATTTAAACAACAATCACACAAAAAAATTCAATCGAATAATGTGTAAATTATGATAGATTGAACAATTTTTCAAATTTAGAATACAATAATGTACAACTTGTTCATCAAAATTCTTCAAAATGGCACATTTTATATTTTCATGCATAGATATTTGATTCAACTATGACTACTTTTACTTCTATATTTTAATTTCTAATACCTACACAATAAGAATTTTTTG